TTATATAATAATATACAACAGTTAAACTATAGTTAACAATTAACCTAATAGTATAATAATTATCTAAGCCTACTTTATTAGATAATCGGGAACGTAGAAACGACAGTGAGGTATCACAGGGTGAGGAAGACGGTAAGCTGTCTCATCACCCTGGATCTTGAGTTCGACCCTTCTGTTTATGGGTCGCTAATTGACCTACTAACACAGAAGGCAATTGTACCAGTGACCTGAATAAGAATTTGTTATTTATTTCAGAAAATAAACCACAAAAAATGTGGCCTAGTAAGGGACAAATAATATTCCAGCACGTATTTTTACAATATTCTCCCGATGATCCTCCTGTACTAAAAGACCTCAGTTTTTATGTTAAAGGAGGGGAAAAGGTAATGAAATTGATTCTACTTCCCGCCGAAACAAATTGTTTATAAGTTTACAATGCTTTTATTTTGTAAAGGTCGGAATTGTTGGACGAACTGGCGCTGGTAAATCGTCGTTAATATCTGCTTTGTTTCGACTTACAAACATTGATGGTACTATTTTTATTGATGGCGTTGATACTAAATTGATGGGATTAAATGAATTGAGAAGAAGTATTTCTATAATACCCCAGGAACCAGTGTTATTTTCTGCATCAATGAGGTACAATTTGGATCCATTTGATGAATATGAAGACAAGGCAGTATGGCACGCATTAGAAGAGGTATGAAATCTATAAGCCACAAAAAGTCGTTTTATTGACAAAGCTGAAGACGGTCGTTATGCCATATAAATCTGTGTGTATTTTTTTAATGTTAAATTTCAAAGGTCGAGTTAAAGGAATCGGTTGCGTCGCTGGACCTTTTGGTACAAGAAGGAGGAAGTAACTTTAGTGTTGGTCAACGCCAACTGATTTGTTTGGCTCGAGCGATATTGCGGAACAACAAAGTTTTAGTGTTAGATGAAGCCACAGCCAATGTTGATCCAAGGTAAGGAAAAAATAAAATAAAATACTTTAGATCGAAAGCGGTCAACTCAAATGATCTTGTGGGTCATATTGGAAATAAATCATAACTCCGCGGGTTGCAAAATTAAATATCTCCATAGTAGATTCAGATCCACCATAGACAGTTTTTCGAATCCATAACTGTAAACTCATTGATAAAATAGGCAATGTTTGTCATATATTCACAAGAATATTGTTTTAAAATCAAAGTAAATTTTCTCTCATAGTTTTAACAGTCATTTTTTTGCATAATTAAGGATTTTTTTTAATATATTGGTTTTCACTACTTTGGGCACTGTAATCATCATCATCATGATCATAGGGGGGTCAGTCCTAAGACTGGTTGGACACACGCCTCCACTCTTTCTTATCCTGAGCTAATTTTCGCATTTCCCTAAAACATCCCACATGGATTAACTATTTTCGAACAGTAATCTAATCTAGGTCTACCTCTACTATTCTTAACTCCTAATTCTGTTTCCAATTTGACTCTAACCAGTCCTTCATTGCTTTAAAGGTGTCCTACCAACCTATTTCGCCTTTTTCTAATTGACTTCCACAGCTTCTTAGCACTTCAATAAATATCTGAACCAATCAAAAAATGATAAGTTTGACTTAAATCAATATACAGTGTAAACTCTTTATAACGTCACTCGATTTAACGATAAACTCCTTAAAATGTTGAAATTGCTTGACTTTGGTTGGTTTACATTGTTTTCTATAGAATATTACACTCTATATGGCGTCACGCCCACTCTATTTAACGACAACAATGCGGCATTATAAATCATTGAGCAGTACTTTCTAAGTTGCCGAAATAGATAAGAGCTGCAGCAGTGTACGTTGTTGAAGAAGACGATCCTGTCCCTCCACCAAGCATCAAACAAGCACTTGATGCATCGAAACTATTAAAAAAAATACTTTTTATATAAACAAATTGATCCAGCAGTATCTCAAGATAAGAGTAAGATACGTAACAAAATACAATTAAAATATTGGAGCAGCAAAAAACATCAGACGAAGATAACAGGCTATACGCAATGTATGAATAATAAAATGTTCGTGTGCAAAATGTGCACTATATTGGTAAATGCATATTATTATTGGGATCCGTCAAATGGGCATTTACCATCTGGTGGCAAAATTTATAACTCGAATGAGGGAAAAATTTACATAGGAACTGTGCACGCAAATTGTAAAATTGTTTATTAAAATAATAAAACACGTCAAAAAAGTAAAAATTTTTTTGATGATGGAGTCGACGAAGTTTTCTTCTAAAGTTAAATCAAATAAAAAAACACGCTCACCTTCAACGAAATTTCCTTTCCGAGGCTTTCTGTCAGCCCAATCACATATTGTGTCAATACTTATCATTTTATCGTAATTTAAAAACTTGGAAATTGCACGGTACACTATAGCAACTACTATAAATTTTCCCTAATCGGCGCCATGTTTTTAGGCTCCTCCCATTTGGCGGATCCCAATAGAATAGTAAAATAATATCTTTTACTTCTCTCCATTTAACGACCACTCTTTATAACGCCGAAAAATGTTCAGTCCCTTAAGTGTCGTTATATAGAGTTTACACTGCAGTTTCTTATTACGAGTTACCTTTTTTTTTATTATTACAAGAACGGACGCACTCATACAAGCGACAATTCGACGAAAATTCAAAACGTGCACAGTATTGACTATAGCGCATCGTTTGAATACGATAATGGATTCAGACAAAGTGCTGGTAATGGACGGAGGCAGAATTGCAGAGTACGATCACCCCCATAAACTCTTACAAAACGCGCAGGGACATTTTTACAAAATGGTTGCCGAAACGGGCCCTTCGATGGCCGTCCAACTTCACGACGCTGCTTACAGGGCTTACAAGAATAGTTACTACAATGACGATGACGTTACCAAAATGTAGCAATAAAGCAAAATAAATAAATAATTATACAGCTATTTTCATTACCTATATAAACTGCGAGGATTGAAAAATTCTGTCAATGTTTTGTAGAAGATACAATAAAATTTGGTTATAGTGTACTCTAGAGGATGTTATACCTGTATGGTAGTATGGTATAGGTACCTGTCAGAAGTTCGTTTATATTAAGCGTAAGTAAATAACAAGCGTGTACGTTATAAGTCGGTTTCATTATATTTAAATATTTTCAATTTGTATTAGAATCTTTTCATTAATNAATATCCAATGCTACAATAAATTTCATGTACAAACTAGTTTTGTTATGTACTTACAAATTGACCACCTATTTATTTACTGAAAACAGGAAAAAGCTTCTTATTTATTATTATTGCACGGGATACATGATGCAAACATACTGGTGACTGGTCCTGTCTTAGTCTCTTCCAGCACAGTACAAGTACTTTGGTTTGCATCTCTCTATGTCTACGGTTAAGGTTACATATTTAATCTGAAGGTTTTCTAGTTTTTCTATGGTTTTCCATCCCTTAATTTCAACTTCATACATAAAATTTTTCAATAGGAGATTCAATTCATATTAAAGATCATCCTTATCCTTTCCCAATCTCCTCCAAATTTTCTTTCTCCAGTTCCTCATACTAATGTTATGATTCCTGCTGATTTCACCGTACCTTTTCTTTTTTTGCTTCATCCCTCTCTCTTTTGTCCATTTCCATGGCTTCTTTCTTTAACTTGAGACATTTCTATTGCTAATCGTAATTTTGGATAAAAAGCAGTTCATCATTTCAATGTCTGTTAATGTTTTTTAACATGCTATAGGAATATATTTCAAAATATATTTGAATTTCATAAACTTTACATCCGATGATAGTGAATTTTCTGTTTCTTGACCAAAATAAAAAAGTGATGCATTTTGGAAAAGCTTCTTGGTTGAACTTTATAATTCATAACCTACCAGAAATAAACCCGTTACCGTTTATTTACATGTATTAAAGGATATTAGTTTGATTCACAAGATTTATTTAAAGATACAAAAATCTTTTAAAACCTTTAGGCTTTTTTACTTCTATTTTAGTTCAATAAACGGTTACAAAACACATTTAGTAAAGTAAAGTNATACAATTTGAAAGAATAATAATCCTCCGAAGACGCCGACGTAAAAACGATTTAACTTATTTTTAATATTGATTACAGAACTGATGCGTTCGTTCAAGCCACGATAAGAAAGAAATTTAAATATTGCACCGTGCTCACAATAGCTCACCGTCTGAATACGGTTATCGATTCCGATAAAGTGCTCGTTATGGATTCTGGTAGACTTGTGGAGTTTGATCATCCCCATAATCTCTTGAAGAATACGAGTGGGACGTTTTACCATCTAATAGCTCAAACTGGTCAAGCAATGGAGGCACAATTGCATGCAATAGCTGAAAAGTGTTATAAGGAAAAATATAATGAAGACGAAAGTAAAACGTGATAAGAATATGCAATTAAAAACACGCAAATTACAGTAAGTATTTAAATAAATAATTTATGGTGCTTTATATCTATTTTTTATCTTGTGGCGTAAAAAGTTATATTGCTAATGATAAAGCAAATTTGAACAAAAATTTCAATTTGTTTAGGTGACATTTAAACTTTCATACTATTGTGATAAAATGCCACGTTAATAATAGGTCTATTTGCTGTAAGATTATGAAACTTTGTATATATTTTGAAGGAAATGAAAACCATTTTTCAAATAGCTCGTGTAAGTGGGGCAGATCGCTCACAAAATAACATTAACATGCGATAATAGAAGTTTCATATTGTATAATTCATTTCTATTGTAACAGTGTGTAATTAGTACAAAAATGGATAGTGTAATAAAAATTGAGAGGCCTCATCCAATAGAGAAATCGAACATATTCTCTAAAATATTTTTTGGGTAAGTCGTTAAATTTATATTTCTTTCCTAACTAGTGCGAACTTATTATTATAATTTCCTTAGGTGGTTGGTAAAATTGTGTATTAATGGTGCCAAAAGGTCACTAACGTTACGCGATTTGTTTAAATGTTTGCGAGAAGACGAATCTGAAAGATTGACAGATATGCTAGAAGAAAAGTGGAAAGAAGAGCTGTCCAAAAGTAAAGCTAAGAATAAAAAACCAAGCCTTATGCTAGTTATCTGCAAAATGTTTATGTTATCATATATATGGTATGGAATTTTGGCGTTTCTCATATCTGGAGTTGTTAGGTAATTTAAATAACAATATTGTTTCTACATAAATTAAAAAGGTGCTTATAGTCCATATTAGTAGAGAACTCGCTTCGAAGTTTACTGAAACCTTCAATAAGGTTTATGAATATGATTTTGAAGTCCATTCTTCACCTTTCTCTTAACCGCCCCTAGATTAAAAAAGATTTAAGTAAAACTACAAGATATATAGCTACCTCATTTAATTTATCCCCAACTTTCTAACATATGAACTTGAACTAGTTTAAACTGATTACTAGATTATAAATAAAAAAGTCATCGTTGATTTAAGAGATAAACTAGAAAAACATGCGTCGTTTATTATAGTATTCAATCATTTACTCATGTGTGTAGTAAATTGTTTGTATTTTTGATAACGTAAGAATTGTTCTGATTCTCATGCATAATGGTTTTGCTAGGAACCACGTTTTTCTTTTTAAGAAAGCGTAAAAATGTACAAGAAAAGTTATAGAACTCCGGGTACCTATTTATTTCAGCAATTTTCTGAAAATACTACACGCCTCATATTTAGAAATACAATTTAAATTTATCAATATTGTCTGTTTTAATTGATGAATTATGATTTCTTGGTTTTTTATACTACTTTATCTATCTAGTAATCCCTCCTGAATAACGATAAGATACGTGTATTATTTAAGAATTTAATGACATTTGCGGATAAATTACTTGTTGTTATACTCATTTCTCAGATACTATGAAAAAAATGAAATAAGAAATAGAGATATCATCATGATCATCATAAAGTCGCCAGTCCTGAGACTAGTTGGACACGCAACCTAACCTAACTTAACTTACACTCTTTCCTATCCTGAGCTAATCTTCGCATTTCCCTAAAACTACAACATCTCCCATCTTTAACTATTTGTGAACAGTAATCTAATCTAGGTCTACCTTCACCATTCCTAACTCGTCAGTCGTAGGACTGCTTGGACACGCACCTTCACTCCTTCCTATCCTGAGCTAATCTTCGCATTTCCCTAAAACCACATCCTTAACTATTTATGAAGTAATCTAATCTCTACTCCTCCTAATCCCAGTTTCTGCCTCTAATATCTTTCTGATTACACCTTCATGCCTGAGAAGGTGTCCTACTAACCTGATCTCGGCTATTTCTTATTGACTTCCATACAGTCCTATGTTCTCATATTCTTTCTAATACCTCTTTATTTCTAACTTTCTCTATGCTGTATCGCGTCCTCATCATTTTAATTTTTTCAGATATTATTGTTTTGTCAATACCGCAAAAAAGCAAATCTGACTAGGGTATCATGTAGAACGTTTTATTATCTTATTTTTGCTGACTAATTTTAGATAATTGCATATTAAAATTTGGTTTAATACTAATTTGGGTCATCATCATCATAAGGTCGTCAGTCCTAAGACTGGTTGGACAGGCACCACCACTCCTTCCTATCCTGAGCTAATCTTCGTATTTCCCTAAGACTAGAACAATCCACGTCCTTAATTGTTTGCGAACAGTAATTTAATCTAGGTCTACCTCTACCCCTCCTAACTCCGGTTTCTGCCTCTAATATGTATTTGACTAGACCTTCATGTCTAAGAAGGTATTTTACCAACATATCTCGCCTATTTCTTATTGACTTCCATAGAGTCCTCTTTTCTCCTATTCTTTCCAATACCTCTTCATTTCTAACCTTCTCTATCCACGGTATCCTCATCATTCGCCTGTAACTAATTTGGGTCATTGTGTATATTTAATTAACGAAGTTAACTTACATTTATAATTACATTTTTTTTTTCAGATCTATTCAGCCTGTACTTCTATCTTTATTTATAAAACAATTTTCGTCATTTCAAGAAGCAACATTAGAAGATAAGTTGATATATGGCAGTATTTTGGTGTTTTCCACATTAATTTTGGCGATATTTCAGTACCAATTCCAATTCGGATTTGCTTTAATTGGAATGCGAGTTAGGGTTATTTGCTGTTCGTTAATTTACAGAAAGGTTGGCTCATTTCTAGTATTACGCTTACTGGTATTTCATGAGTGCTTTTACCTAACAGTTTTTAATTTTATCAGAACCTAAGTTCCACCTTCTTTTTCTTTAATCAATTACAGTACGAAACCCACAGAAAGTTACGAATAATTAACAAGGGTTAAACCCTACACTGTGTACTAAATATATATATATATATTTGAAACGCTTTGACATTTTTAGAAGTGGTTAGTTTTTTATATGAAATATTAATATGAAAATTCATTTGTCGAATTTTTTACCCACTACAAACTACCTTAGGTTGATGAGGGAAAATTCTTATTGTTGTCACACCCCCGCCGGGAATCGAACCCGGGACCTTTGACACTAAGCTTAGTGGTCAGAGCATTGGTGCGTAAAGCCAAAGGTCCCAACAGCAGTAAGAATTTCTGCTCATTAATCTGAGGTAGCTTTTAGTGGGTAAAAAATTCGACAAATGAATTTTTGTATTAATATTATTGTTCTGTAGCATTAAATCTTACCTATTTCGATTTTTAGTTACTTCGTTTAAGTAAAAGGTCTATAAAAGAGACGGCTTCAGGTCAGGTTGTAAACCTCATTTCTAACGACGTTAGTCGTTTCGATCTCATTATGCAGTTTCTTCATTATTTGTGGATGATGCCCGTACAGGTTGCGTTACTTGTCTACCTCATTTGGAGAGAAGTTGGTATTTCATCTGTGATAGGAGTATCAACAATGTTGATTGCCACTATACCACTCCAAGGTGCTTTGTTTTTTACTATTTACCAAAAGTTTAATAAGTATTTATTTTCTTAACGCTTCCATCGCAGGTGCTATTGCAAGATTTGCTTCAAAACTGCGCATGAAGGTTGCCAAAAAATCGGATACAAGAATAAAATTGATGGACCAACTCATAGGAGGTATCCAAGTGATTAAAATGTACGTTTGGGAAGATGCGCTTGCAGAAATCGTGAAAAAAGTTCGCGCCAGCGAGATATCCAGCCTAACGAAATATTCTTACATAAGAGGCATATTGTCTAGCATGTCGGTCTTCATGGAACGTTTTGTAACATACGTAACCATTATCAGTTTCACACTTTTGGGAAACAGTATAACTGCCGAAGCAGTATTCTCTATTGCGTCATTCTACAACACGATGCAAATAACGGTAGCCATTGCTTATCCCATGGCGCTTCTGCTTTTGTCGGAAACTAAAGTTTCTATGAAACGTATTCAAGATTTCTTGATGCTCGAAGAAAAAGAAGAGGCCAAAATCATGAACAAAGGCAATAAAGGAGTTTCGCTTGAGAAAGTGGAAGCATTTTGGATTCCTGACCAACCAGTTCTTTCCCGAATAAATATCGCTATACCTCCTGGTACGTTGTGCGCGGTTGTGGGTCAAGTAGGTGCGGGAAAAAGTTCGTTCCTTCAGCTTTTGCTTGGTGAATTGACTTCGTTTACCGGATCGATTAACGTTGGCGGAAGTGTTTCTTATGCATCCCAAGATTCCTGGATATTTTCATCCACAGTGAGGAAAAACATCCTTTTCGGACAACAGTACGATAAAATGAGATATGATAAAGTTGTCGACGTGTGCGCCTTGCAAACTGACTTTAAACAATTTCCTTATCGTGACAAAACCGTTGTTGGTGACAAAGGAGTTTCATTGAGCGGAGGTCAAAGGGCGAGAATTAATTTAGCGAGATCCGTATATAGAAAGGCTGATATTTATTTATTGGACGATCCACTTTCGGCGGTTGACACTTATGTAGGAAAATATCTCTTCGAGAGATGTATAGTGGATTATTTGAGGAATAAAACAAGAATACTTGTAACTCATCAGCTTCAGTATCTGAAGAAAGCAGACTTGATCATTGTTTTAGATAATGTATGTAACATCAACCATTTTTTGCTGGGGTGTTAATATATCGGCATTTTAACTTTTAGGGGCGTATTGAAGCACAGGGGACGTTTGAAGAATTGTCTAAACAAACTTTCAGTTTCACTAAACTTTTAGCTGCAGCTGAAGAATCCAATGAGGAACAACATTTTCAACGTGATCCTTCGAGAGCGTCAGTTTTGGTAATTCGTTGATATTGTTTTTTGATTTCATTTGCTTGAACATTAGTGTTTGTTTCGCAGAGTGTGTTGAGCGAGAATTGGGAAGAAGAACAACTCGAAAAGAATCAAGAACAACTGGTGAATTTGAAGAAATCTCCTTATCTACAATATGCTAAATTTTCTTCCCACTTCTGTGGAATAATATTTTTCGGCTTTGTAACAGTAATTACACAGGTGGCCACAAGTGGATGCGATTATTGGACATCCTATTGGTAGATACACAATATTAAAATTATTTCTCCGAGATTCTGATCATTTCTTTACGCATATTTTAGGGCACAACAAGAAGAGCAAAGGGTATCATTCAATATCACTGGTACCGAACAAACCGCACCGAATTTGCTTTCAACCGATATGGCCATGATCATTTATTCATGCCTTATCGGCGGTAGTATTATTTTGGCAAGTTTTAGAGCTATCTATTTTTATCGGTTGGCAATGAACGCCTCGAGGAAACTGCATGGTTCCATGTTTGGCGCTCTTATAAGGGCACCAATGAGATTTTTTGACTCCAATCCGTTGGGAAGAATTGTAAATAGATTTTCTAAAGACATGGGTGTCATTGATGAGTTGTTACCAAAGATGATGTTGGATGCATTAACGGTACATTATTAACCCTTTGCCATTATGTAGTAGATACCTAAAATGATGATTAAATTTTTCCATAGATTATTATGGTTATGGCAGGTATTTTAGTAAACGTAGTGATTTCAAATATCTGGATGATTATAGCAAGTGTGTGCTTGGGAATCTTTTTTTACCTCGTTCTAAAATGGTATATTGCAGTTGCAAGAGATATCAGACAACTGGAAGGCATAAGTATACCATCCAGAATTGTGACCAGCTCTTTTTTAATTCTTTATTGTATATTTTTAGCAAAGAGCCCCGTGTTTTCGCATTTAAATGCAACATTCAACGGACTGACAACTATACGGGCTTCTAAATCTGAGTCAATTCTTGCTAAAGAGTTTGATTATCACCAGGTAAGTTACTTTAATAAATTCCATGGAAGATAAAATAATTAAACAAATTTTAGGATACCCATACGTCAGCTTGGTATATCACTATAGCTTGCTTTTCGGCATATGGATTATGGGTAGATCTGTTGTCAGTTATTTTCATAACATGCGTTACCTACAGTTTCATTTTAATCAGTCAAGGTAATTCCACAATCAAAAACAATTTTCCAATTGTGTCATCTTTAAATGTTAACAATTTTTGTTTCGCAATGTTCAAAGAGTAGGGAAATTTAATTTTTTCTTTTCCAAAGGTGGATATATAAGCAGTAGCGCCGTTGGTCTAGCAGTGCAGCAGTCCATGATATTTGTAGGGATGTTATCGTATGGAATACGCCAGCTGGCTGAGATGGTGAGCAACATGACGGCAGTTGAAAGAGTGTTGGAATACACCCAGTTGGAGATGGAAGATGTTTCGAATATAAGAAGTAATTCTTGTAAAAATTCTCTTCAATCTAAATTTGATTAACTGCTCTTCTTTTAGAGTCTTATTTGAATATCATGGAATGGCCCAGTAGAGGAGCAGTAGTATTCCGGAACTTATTTTTGAGCTATTCTAAGGAAGATCCACCAGTTTTGAAAGACTTAAGTTTCACGGTTGAAGCAGGAGAAAAGGTACACACATGATGCTGTTTTCAGTGGATTTGAAGCGGTTTTATGCACATTTTTGTAGGTGGGCATAGTAGGACGCACGGGCGCTGGAAAAAGTTCCTTGATCGGAGCTCTATTTCGTCTGGCCGATATAGAGGGTAGCATATTTATTGACGGTGTTGACACTAAATCAATTCCACTAAGCGATTTGCGAAAAAAGATTTCGATTATTCCTCAAGAACCCGTCCTATTTTCTGCAACGATAAGGTACAATTTAGATCCATTCAACGAGTTTGATGACAAAATCGTGTGGTCTGTACTTGAAGAGGTAACATTTTTTCCGAATCTACAAGTAAAGATACCCAAGTACTTAATCAAATTCTGTTTAGGTTGAACTTAAACCCAATATAACATCTTTAGAAATGGAAGTTGATGAAGGTGGCAACAATTTTAGCGTCGGTCAGAGACAACTCATCTGTTTGGCCAGAGCCATTTTAAGGAACAACAAAATTTTGGTTCTCGATGAAGCTACCGCTAATGTAGATCCCAAGTAAACAATATTTCTTTGTTAAATTGTGACTTACATCCTGAAGGATTATTAGCTAACACTTATAAGAATTCCTGTGATGAAAACTGATTGTTATCACAAGAACTCGATAATCCAACCTAACTTAACCTATCCTATGCTATCCTAACCTATCCCGTCCCGTCCCGTCCCGTCCCGTACCGTACCGTACCGTACCGTACCGTACCGTACCGTATCGTACCGTACCGTACCGTACCGTACCGTACCGTCCCGTCCCGTCCCGTCCCGTCCTATCCTATTCTATCCTATCCTATCCTATCCTATCCTATCCTATCCTATCCTAACCTAACCAAACCTAA